TTATTTGTGTTTGTTTAGATAGATAAACAGATGAGACATTTCTGATCCAGATGTGACAATCTCAGCGCTGTCACTTACCTTTCAAGGATCATAGAATTTTTGCTTTTAACACATTCCCTCGAGTACCTACATGTTTTCATTATAAACCAGTAGTTGAGAAAACATGTCAGATGCTAAATTCAAAATCCACTGTGCAGGAAACAGGGGGAACTGTAACAACTGTTCTGGAAGAAAGTGTCTTGAAGTCCATGTACATAACATCTTAAACAGTTTGCCAATAAACTGTAATTAGCACTTATGTTACAACTGCAAAGGCTGAACAATTTGTGCTTAACTACTATAGGACTGAAGTTATTTTTGTCAAATATGCATAAAACTGTAAGCTAAAATGTCTATGGTCTATAATATAAAAGTTTGGTGATAAAAATGTAGAATTTTTTAATACCAATTTAAGTTTTGAAGCAAAAGGATAGAAATAGTTTAAAGTCACAGAGCACTTAAACCTTTTTAATCCTTAATATATCATATGAAATCTCATAAAGAATATGCTGTACTCAGGGTGATAATTTCTTAAATGAATATTCAATAACTTCTATGTCCAAGTATACTGAAGCTTAGAAACTTTTCTAGAGGTTCATATTTACTAGAGTAAATGAAATGAAAGTTTTAGGATGCTTGTATAAAGGTTAAAATAACTGAAATTATTTTCTCAGTAAATGCTTTCTCATTTTCAACAATCATTATTTTAAAATATTTATATAACACAAACAATATAATTAATAAAAGGCTATACACAATGATAGATAATGCAAGACAACTGAATTCATACTGCATAACATCTAAAGTATTTAATCATAGCTCTTATAGGACTCCACACTTAATAACTTATTTCTACTTAATAAAATAGTAAAAATGCCATTTTCTACTTTTTTAAATGTATATTTGCAAACATATTCTCTCACCTAATTGTTCAATTAAATAATATGCATTTCCAATTACAGAACTAATGTAGTTATGGATATTCATTTTTCTACATTTATTTATTTAATAAAGGCTAACGTTGCTTAGGCTATCATGGAAACAAAAATTATGATGTTATTTTCAACTCTATAACCTCTTAATTTGCAAACAGGTAATTATATGAAACATTATAGAATGCACTAAAAAAGCAATTCAAAAACAATAAATATTTCATGTAAGAATTACTAATTAGTGTAATAACTATTTTTTTTTTGTAATAACTATTAAAAACAGAAGTCTGTGCAAAAATATATAATCATACAAAGAATATCAGTCTTTAACTTCCCTTAATTACTTAAATGGCCATTAAAGGGCACCTGGCTAGTTCAGTTAGTAGAGCATGCCACTCTTGATCTCAGGGTCTTGAATCTGAGCCCCACGTTGGGCATGGGGCCTACTTAAACATAAATAAAATAAAATCTTTAAGGGGTACCTGGATGGCTCAGTCAGTTTAGCATCTGACTTCAGCTCAGGTCATGAGCTCCTGGTTCTGAGTTTGAGTCCCACATCGGGCTCTCTGCTGTCAGCACAGAGCTTGCTTCAGATCACCTTTCTTCCTCTCTCCCTGCCCCTCCCCTGCTCTCTATAGCTCTTAAAAATACATAATTTTTTTTAAAAAAAAGAATACAGTTATTTTTTAAAAATCGTTAAAAAGATAAAAGTTTTTTTAATAAAATAAAATGGCCATTTAAGAATGTACCTTAATGAGTAACGCAAATAAATCTTTTCATTAAACAGGAAGAATAAGAGATAGTTTGATTTCTAATAAAATATCAAAACCAAGACCAATTTCATATATGCATATTAATTATGAAGAAATAATGAAAATATTTACACCTTCAAAATAGTATTAATACTTTTAGTGGAAATGAAATCATTTAATATATATAGCCAGTCTCTAACAGATTATTAGTATTACTAAAATGTGAGTGTTGAGTGCTAGTTGCTGTCATTTGTGACTTGCTGGGTAAAGTGTAAAATAAATAGGAAGTTTGACTCTATTTCTTTTGCCACGAAGAATAAGCACCATCAAGAAAACATTAAAAGTCTGTCTTTTGGAGAGTACCTGGGTATCTATGTGCTACACAGGCTTTAATATTAAAGGCATTCTTTCATCAATAAAGTGAAACTTGAGAAAAAGTCATATTTTGAAGTATCATAGCACAGCTTGTACTATGTGTAAAGTTTATTGTCACAGCAATTCTTCATAGAAAAAAATTCTTAAATGTAAGGTTGTCAATCTGCACTTTTTTGAGTATTGTAGTCGCTGAGAATTAGCAGTTAACAATGCGAAAGAACTCTTAAAAGCACTGACTTTTTACACTTCATTCTAACAAAACAATTTGCTATTTACTTATTTTACAGTTAATCTCCATGCTAAATCTGAAAGTATGCTCTCAATAACAACTGTAATAAAAGAATGTTGAGATAATGACACAAGATGTTAAAAGCAAGGAAAATGCTCATTTGAGGATATAATCTCTTTCACATATATGAGCTTTAAGTAGAAATGAAGTAGGAGAAATATTCCACAAAGTTACCCAGAGAATTCCTATAGAACAAAAAACTTATCAAAAGGTGTAGAAAGCCTTCCAAGATTCCAATCCTTGTTGATAAAGCCTTTCTAATATGAGATATTTTGCTCTATAAAATTATGTGCCAATAAACTTTGTAAGCAAAAGCTCCTTACCATCTTTAATTAATGAAAATTTAAAGAAGAATCATAAGACTTAGTTTTGTTGGTGGAAGTGTTTGGATTGTTGGTAAAGCTGAGATCATACTGAATGTTCAGCAAACCCGTTTATGTTCCCAAATGTCCCGTGCAATTAGGTTGGGCTATGTGACTGACTTTGGGTCAGTGGATAAGGTATTATCTTTCAAAATCCTCAACAAGCTTTCTTCCCTCCCTGTCTAGTACAGAGTGTCTGGTGGGGAACTCCAGGCCTCTAGAAGAAGATGGGAGAGCCACTACTGCGTCCCTGAGTGACTGAATGGAACAAAAACTCACCCCCATTCTTTTCCCGACCCACACTAGAATGTGACATAAAGGAGTAATGAATCTTTTGTTTTTTTTAAGCGTGAAGCCCAACATGGGGCTTGAACATACAACCCTGAGATCAAGACCTGAACAGAGATCAAGAGTCAGATGCTTACTTGACTGAGCCACCCACGCACCCCAAAGGAATAAGAAATCTTTATAGTATTAAGCCACTGAAACTTGGAAAGACTAGAAGGTTACTCATTCATTAATTTACCTGTTTCTCATATATTATAAATAATAAGAATGACAGGGATAAAAATAAAATTGGGTACTTTGGAGGAGGGAAAAGATGGCCATTGTATTGGATCTAAATATTAGATTAGGAATAGTTTTTACGAACCACAGTTCACCCTTGAACAACGCAGATTTGAACTACACGGGTCTACTTATATGTGGGGTTTTTTTGGGTTTTTTTTGATAACGACAGTACAGTGCTATAAATGTATTTTCTCTTCCTTATGATTTTAACATTTTCTTTTCTCTAGCTTACTTATTATAAGAATAGAGTACATATAATACATACAAAATGTGTTAATTGGCTTTATGATATCAGTAACGCATCCATCCTATCAACAGTAGAGTATTTAGTCAAGTTTTAGGAGAGTCGAAAGTTACACGCAGATTTGTGACTGCACTGGGGTTGGTGCTCCTGATCCCTGCCATTGTTCATGAGCTCAAGTATTTTGCAATTGGTCCCTGCCAAACTCTTATTCCCCAGTCATATGCTGAATTTATATCAGCTTATTATGATATTAATATTAGTGATAAATACTTAAAGCATTAGCTACCATTCATTTCTTACCATACTCTGAACATAGTCCTTGGCATTTTATATGAATTATCTCTTTTAATATCAAAGTAACCATATAAGGGAGTTTTGATAATATACTCATTTTGCAGAGGAAATTGATGTCCGTGAAAGTTAAGATGATCTCATGGCTAGTCATTTGTGAAGCAGCATTCAAAAGGTCTTTTTGACCCCCTGGATACCCTATTAACATACAATATTGCATTGAGGGTAATATTTGATTTCAAACAATTACTGTTTGAGCAATAATTTACTTCAACTACTTTCCTACCCACAAATAGAATCATATAGTTGCATGTTAATTTTGTACATCACAGAAAAGGTGGACAGGAAGAGTGGACCTTAGCAAATATATCATAATCCTAGATCTGCTCCTCACAGTGAAAATCTTACACCCTGATTTTACCAACATGCTAAAAAGTCAATCCATCTATTAAGAGTAGAGACACAGTAATCATTAATGTTTTGACCCATAAATCAAATTATTCATTTATGATGAATGATTTAAATGAAAAAAAAAAAACTTCACCAAAGGCTTGGGATATTGTAATTACTCACTTAAAGTTAACTGCCATTATAAATGATATATATGAAATTCATGTGGTTAACATATATCGTTGGAGCAGAGATTCATTGGAAGCACAATAATAGAATATTGATTAAAAAACATGGACTCAAGAATGAAGATATTTTTGTAGATATAATGTTTAATAGCATCAAGTATAAATAGCCTGATACTCATTCACAGTATGAATGGCCTTGTCTTTAGGAGTAAGGTTCTATGGAATTAAGTGTCAGTCCCTCATCTCTGAACCATATTTGGATAGGCTTTGCCCATATTGTTTCTGACTTTTCTATTATCTGATTTCATGGCTAAAATTCTTCCTGTGGATATGTCAATACCTTCAATTAGTTTATGTCAAACCCTGCTGCACAAGAATTTATGTGTACTTTTAAGAGAATTTTGCACATCCTTTGTACTGATCTATTTTGTGTTCATCTTGAAATTCAACCATCCAAAGGCAACCTCTTCTGGGGTCCTTTATTTCAATTTTTTTTTCCAATACCTCTCTCATAATAGTCTATAAAAATGTTTTTAAATGACAAGAATTGAAAGAATTCATTCCAGAATAAGACAATGCTCACCAAAAACTCCTACCTATTTATGAGAAATTAGTGAGGGGAAATAACAGCATCTGTTCTCTTTTGCTTTCACATAGTGTAGAAGCAGTGTAGACACAGGATTCAGTCAATCATCTTAACACACAACTTGATTGCTGCAGTAAAGCTCTCCAAACTCCTCCTACAGGAGACACCATGTGTCTCCTTATAATGGTACCAAACCCCATGCTAAACTAGAACTGTTATTCTGGAAGGAAGTATGGCCCAGAATTCATCAAAACCACCATACAATGTCAGGGAAAGGTGGTGCTATGCCAGCTGCTCCCCGTCAGTGAAAAACTAAGCTAGTTCAGGCCTTATGCTGCCACCATGCCATGCACTTCAAGAGCAAAGTCTAGTGCCACCATCCTGTTCCTTTTTCCAACTAGGCAAATGCCAAGAAGGGCACTTTCCCCCACACAAGTATGTGGGAGGTAGTAAATGCAATAAGAGTTAATTAACCCACAGGGTGCTTCAAGACTGGAATGATTCAGTCACAGAGAAACCATTTTTATTCCTTTACTGTTGTTTCTTTTTTATCTGTGAGCTGGGGGTAAGAAGAGGACCAACAATTCAGACATGGGAAAGATCTGGATGAACTTAGGAACTATTCTATTACTTTAGAGTCTGGGGACTACTGTAGAAAGAAGTATTCCAAAAACAAAAACCAAGGAAAGTGCTGAAGCAGCTTTCTCTGGAAATGCCTGGATTCAACGACTTGTCTTTGAGTTTGAGAGCACATATCTGGAAAGCTCAGATTGACAACAGCACACTGATGAGTAGATCTCCTTTGATGTGAAATGGACCGTCAACTTCAATAGTACTGACCGATGAGAAATCTCTGAAAAAAACAACATGCAAAGGACAAGAAAATCAGTGATCAATACAGAAAAGGCAAACCTTCTTAATAGTAAGAGATACATAGACAAAGGTAAAAATGAAGTTACAAAAGCAAAAACAATTTTAAATGATAGTAATACCAAGTTTGTAGTTTTTTAAAGTGTTATGGTGTTACAGTATGTTGTTACATTTACCAAATTTTATTTTTATTAGAACTAATTTAATTGATAATAAAATGAGAGAAATTCCATTAAAGTAAGCATCATCTATGGTGTCATTAAAAGTTTGGTAAGATCTGAATACTCAAAAGTATTTTAGTAAAGTAAAAAAAAACTATGAAAAATTGTTATGTATAATTGAGCATATGCAAAGTTACCCTCCCCAAAAATTATGAATAAAGAAATTTAAAGAATTTAAAAGAGGGACACCTGGGTGGCTCAGTCGGTTAAACGTCCAACTTCAGCTCAGGTCATGATCTCACAGTCTGTGGGTTCGAGCCATGCGTCAGGCTCTGTGTTGACAGCTCAGAGCCTGGAGCCTGCTTAGGATTCTGTGTCTCCTCTCTCTCTGCTCCTCCCCCACTCACTCTCTGTGTCTGTCTCTCAAAATAAAATAAAGACATAAAAAAATTTTTTTAAAAAGTATTTAAAAGTAAAAAGTCAAGAATAATTTTTCAAAAAAAATGTGACAGATCCTAAAATTCTAATTATCTTACTCTACTTTTAGCAACTGTAAAAGATAAGACACAGCATATAAAACTCACCAACTATCATGGTTTCACTTGATTCTTCTTAACAGTTTCCTATGGTCAGCAACAAGCTGAACCATATTAGTGGAGAGAAATCAGAAGAAACATAAAACTGTAAAAGAAAAAAAAAACCATACACTCCAAAGAAGAAGCTAAAAAATCTAAGAAAACACCCAAAATAAGAGCTAATTACAGTCTGTCAGAACTAATGAATGAAAAAAAATCCAAAGCTGAATGAAAGCTTTATTACATCTCTATAACTACTGAATAATAGCTTGAGGTACTTATATAAAAGCTGGGGGGTTTTTGTATGACTTTAGGTTTATGTTTCTTTTTCCCAACACTATGGCTTAACAGTATATGCATAATAAATAAACAATGGACCATTAAGCTTTTCTTAAGACTCTTAACAATTATTTCCAAGAAAGAATCTCAAACTCTAACCATGGAAAAAGGTTTCATTTTTAGAATAATGTTAGTCCTATGTAACTAGACTCCAAGAGGCAGGATCTGACTTAAAAAGTCATTATCAATAGTCTCTACTTTAATCAAGTAACTGCATATTTGATCCATGGTTTCCTTTTCTTTTTTTTAAATGGATTTACTTATTTTGAGAGAGAGAGAATGCACATGCTCAGGAGTGGGGAAGGGCAGAGAGAGAGGAAGAGAGAGGATCCCAAGCAGACTCCAAACACAAACTGTGAGATCATGGCCTGAGCCAAGAGTCAGACGCTTAACCAACTGAGCCACCCAGGTGTCTCTCAGGTTCCTTTTTCTAAAAATGGGATATCAAAAAGAATAAAGTACCAGCCATACTTACAATCTTTTCTTCAACTGTATGGAGAACATGGTGCCCATCTATAATTCACTATTTGAAAGGGGCATTTGGTTTGTCTTGCCTACAACAATTAAATGAGGCAATACCCAAAAATGGAAGCCCATTCGAACTTTCGCATTTTCAATCAGCAAAAGAAGGTGCTCAGATCTTGTGAATTACCTGTCTTGTTTCATAGGCGGCACCTGTATTGCTGCTACACATCTGTGGAAGCACAATATCAGCCAACTGTTAATCAAGGATCACTTCCCTTCAAAGTGACTGATGATCGACTGTTCAAACAGCTTATAAAAATAACTTCTCCTTCGAAAAGGTGCTTCAGGGTTTTCAGGCACATCTCACCATTCCTGCTAGCTTAATGCATGTTTGAAAGTTAATTTCTCATTAATATTTAAAGAAGAAATGGCTTCAGAACAAATTTTAAATGATCCATTACATTTAGAAATAAAATATTATTGGCATTATTTTCATCTTGATTACAACGAATAATAATGTCCAAGATTGGCTTTTAAAACTGTTAATGAGCCCTGGCAATGTGAAAAAGATATGGATTAGGTAGATGTAATGAGATATGATTAAAGGGTGCAGGCACTGAAGGGTGTTGGAGAAATTCTTTTCTGAAAGAGTATAATTAGTGTCTGATAAAAGTACTTAGTAGATAAGATTTTTGAAGAAGAAAGGTTACGATAAACACATACTTTATGACAAACCTGCTTAATTTTTCCCCTTGGTTCCCTTACATACTCAATATTATGTTGAAGTTTCATACATAAATAATGTTTGTCAAATACTTCATGCAATTCTACCAGACAATTAGAATGTTTTAATTGCCAGACACGGAGAGCAGAAAATGTGTTGAAACATCTTATTCCATTTTCAGTGTACATTTCTTTGTTGATTTATGTAATGTAGCTAATAATATGCAACCTACCCTAGTTTTAAACAAACAAATGAACTTCTAAAAAGCAGGCTTTCCATAAGTTGCTAAGCAACTCCAAAGGCACATTTTATCAATTTAATAAGTAACATTTAGATGACAAATCCTTAAGGAAGATTTCTAACTCTGTTTTATAAAAAGTAAAAAACCCAAGCAGGTACCCTTCTGATTTTCCTATTTCTAAGGGCTCAGGGCTAGACAGAGGCACTGCCATTTTCAGAGGTACATTTGACTCACTAAACAAATTATTTTGTCATTTGAAATTCTTATCTAATAGAAGTTAGCTTCTGGGACTCATTGTGCAGCTTTTTGGAGTTAGAGCTCCTGGTTCATTCCCATAACAGACTGTTTCTCAACCTCAGCCCTCTTGACATTTGCTAGGGGGGGGGGGGGGGGGGCCTCTCCCATGCTTCCTAAGAGGGTTACCAATATTTAGCCCTGGCGTCTAGTTACCCATGCCAGTAGTGGCCCCCTAATTGTTAAAACTAAAAATTTCTTCAGACATTGCCAAATGTGCCTGGGGGGTGGGGGTGTCAAAATCGCACCCAACTGAGACAGTTGAGAACCACTACAGCTGAATAATGAATAAATACGCTGTGAGAAAGATATCTTAAGCTTAACTGGTGATGAAGACACGGTGATATTAGTTTCCATCAGTCATCACCTAATATCTCCTAGAACGACCAACAATGAAGAATAAAGGGGTAAGACTGATTTCAGGGATACTGTGGCTCTTGTTCCATTCAAGGCTCATTATGGACTTTATCATTTCAATGTAATTTCCACTGTACAAAAACTGGCGAGAAGGACATAGCCATAGCTCTGTCTCTCTAGTAATATCCCATTCTAGAACTGCATTAAAATCTTTTCCCCTACTTATTCTCCCTGAATTTTCACTATACTCAGATGGCGGCTAGAATCATTCTAAATATAAATCTCAATTTTAAGAATGCCACCCTCTGCTCCTAGGGCCACAATAGGTCTCTATCACTTCTATTCCTAAACACAAACTCTTCTGCATAGCCTTTAAGGTTTCCTACAAATTACCGCCGAACTCCATCTTACCAAGTCTCTTTCTTATTCTCCATGTATACCACCTTTACCCCCTCAAATGCAAACAGCTTGCATATACTAATCTTCCTATGTAACACAAAAGGGACAAATTTATTGCCGCCATGACTGTTTTCCTAATTAATCCTTCCTTAATTTCTTATAAGTATCATATCTGTTAGAAGAATGACAAGACCGAAAGCTAATATGTGAGGCAATTGTTTACTGAACGTCTTCAATATGCCAGACACTGAATACTGCACAGTAGCTATTTCTATCAATTTATGTTCACATTATTTATGCTCAACTAGATTGTAAGTTCCCAGAGGATAAGAACAGGTCTTGTTTGTATCCCTTTGATGCCTCTTTATAATGATGCTAATAAATACACTTTAAATTTGATTAGCAATTATAACCTTTCAAATTACTTTCATGGTTATTAACGTATTGATTATATATTTTCACTACTTTATACTCAATGAAAGTGGGACATTAAATACTCGAGGGACTAGTCTATGGGATACACAACTGGTGCTCAGTAGAACATGCATTTAGTATATGCTGACTGACTGAATGCAGTCTCACAACTTCACAACCAGAACATTCCTCTCTTGTTTCTAAAGTTCTTATGGCATTTAAAAACAAATGTTACTGTAAAGAACAACTGCAGTTCGGTGATGCAGGAGACACAACATAGAAGTGAATTAAGATTTTCAAGGGTTAAACTATGACACAGCAGGAAAGCAAAAGAGAAATTACCTAGCTACTGCCTCAAATTGGGTAGGAGATTAACTTCACCGGCACCTGGGTAGCTCAGTCAGTGAAGCAACTCTTGGTTTCAGCTTAGGTTATGATCTCCCGGTTCATGAGTTGAAGCCCCTCATTGGGCTCTGTTCTGATAGCGCCGGGCCTGCTTGGGATTCTCTCTCTCCCCTCTCTTTCTCTGCCCCTCCCCTGCTCACGCTCACTTCATTGCTCGTTCGCTCTCTCTCGCAAAAATAAATAAACTTAAAAAGAATAAAGAGATTAACTTCATAAGACTTTTGACCTCTCACCACAAAAAGTAAAACTTTAAAAGAAAGCAAAATAGAAAGAGCCGCAGAAGGGTTGATAAGCCCCCAAATTCTAAAAGTCACAGCATTTTAACATCATACATATGACTAAGTCCAAGAAAAGATTTTCAACAACTCAAGAGATTTCCTTCATTCCAAAATGTCTGTAAAAAACATTTGTCTATCAAGCTCTCAACTGACTTCAACAAAACAGCACAAAGTCAGAGATCAGCTGATTTCTGAAGATAGGAGCTAAGCACCATGTGCCCAAAGAAACTGTGTATTTACTCAACAATTCTTTCAACATTTATTGCAAGCCTACTAAGTACAGACACTTAGTAGGCACTGGGGTGAAAAAAAAAATGCCTAAGTCTTAGTT